TGCAATAGCACGTACTGTTTCTTTTCTGTCTTTCATTCTTTCTTTAATTTCTTTAATAATTTTCTTTCCTATTTCCTTTCCTTCTTCGAATCGTTGTTTGTAAATTTCTTCAATTGTTTCTCTTCGAATACTTTCTTCAATATCATTCATTTTTTCAATAATTAAATCACTTATTTCTATTTCATCATCTTCTTCACTTTCTTCATTCTTTCCACCTCTTTCCATCATATATTTTCCAACAATACTTCTAATACTCACACTCTTATCTTTACGTCTTTCAAGTAAACATCCAATAAGTTCATTTTTTTTAGTTTTTTCTATAACTCCTTTCTTTAAATATTCAACAACTATCTTAACTACTTGAATCCGTTCTTCTTCCATTGGAATTAGTAAAATTCTTTCAAGATAATTTTCATCACCTTTAATCCATTTAGGATAATAACTAACTATTTTTCCTAAAACACGAATGAACATTTTAATATCTTCTTTCTTTTTTCTATCTTCTAATTCTTCATCTTCACTCATTGCTTCATCTTCTTCATTAATTTCTTTAGCCTCTTCAATTAAACTCCAAAATCCATTTTTAAAGTTTTTATTGGATTCTCCCGTCATTCCTTCAAACATTTCTTCAATGACTTCTTTTTCCATTTTACTTTTCTTAAGATATTGTGTTATTTTTTTTTCTTCAAGAAATGGTGCGTCATTTTCATTGAAAGGTCTAATGATGCTTTTTACTATTTCTCGACTTTCTTCAGGACATTCTGTCAAAAGGTCTTCAATTATTTTTTTAACCATTTCATATTTGACAGGAAATTCATTTTTAGCTGTTCCTTTGATAATTTTTTCAATGAGACTTTCTACAATACGCAATGTTTTTTGTTTATTAATGTCAATTAATAATAACATCATTTTTGTACTTTCAATAATTTCTATCATTTCTATCATTTCTGATTTTTTCTCTTTTGTATATTCTTGAATACATTCATTTACCTTTTCCATGACCATTTCTATTTCTTCATTAGAATATGGTGGATTTGGTGCACTAATTCTTAGAACATTTAAATGACATAGTGTTGTTTCAAAATTATGTTCTTGTGATGTTTTTATTCTCTTTAAATCATTTCCATCAATAATATCTCCTTGTGGAGTACTTCTTAGTTTTTGAAGAATTATGTGTATTACATTTTCACTCATTTCTTTCTATTGAGTTTTTAATATTTTTTTTAAGTTTTTCTCTTTTTTTTTCATTTCTTGATTAACCAAAACTAATTCTTTTTTTTATTTTCTTTTCAATTCTTTGTCTAAAAATTACATAAATATTTTTAGAAATATCATATCTTTTCTTCATTTTCTCTCGTAGTTAATTCCTTTGCTTCTTTAAAATTTATACCATTATCTGAATATCTATTTCTTATTATTAACTTCAGTTTATGAATTATGTCATATTCTTCATTAATTCAAATTTAAATATACAATCTAAACAATGTTAACAATATAATATAATTGTAATTAATGAGATTCAATAAAGTGACTATGATAAATAAATACAAATTCACTTATTAATTTCATTATACAAAAATATTTTATATTATTTGTATCTTATTTTTTTGTCAAATTCTTTCATAGAACCAACTCATTATAATTTTCATTAAAAATGTTTTACTAACCTTTTATGATATTTTATTTTTTTTTGATTGTTATGTATTATTAACTCAATATTTAAAGGTTATTCATTATTATTCATATTTAAATAATGATTATTTTTTTATGAAATTGTTCAATTCTCATTGTTTTTTTATAGTTTTAAGTATATAATTTTATTTTCTACTCTATCTTTTTGAAACATTTTTATTTACTTAATTTCTTATATGCAGAATTAGTGTTCTAATAACTCAGTTTATGCCTCTTAATTAAAATTATTTTTCATAATATTGTTAATCTAATAACTTTTCTAACTAATTGAATTATCTTTAACTCATTTTAATTGATTATTTAATAATTATTCTGTTAATCTTTTGACTTATTCTTTCTTTTATTTTTAGAATATTTCATTTTTTATTTTTTTGTTTATAAAAATAGAATAATAAAAATGAAATGAATAATAATATATATTATTAGTATATTTAAATAAATTTGATTAGGTAATTCAAATAAACACAACTATTTTATAAGTTTTTATAATAACTATTTATATGAAATATGTATTATTATAATAAAATTAACATAAAACACACAAAATAAAAAGAAATAACATAATTTCATTAGTAGTTGATATGATAAAAGTATAAAACTATATTAAAAGAGAAATAAAGAGTAACAAAATAAAAATAAAACAAGAAAATAATGAAATTTAATTATCGTTAAATAATTTCACAAAGTATTTTTAACTACTTAAATGTGTTTTTAAAAGAATTGAATATTTTATTCATTCTGAACTTTTTTTCAAAAACGTTGTTTAGTAAGTCAAATACATTATTTTACTACCCTCTGTTATATGGTTATTATTTGTGGTATGTCTTCCTTTGTTTATCTTTTTTCTTTTGGTTATAGTATTCGTTGTACTTCACCATAAACTGACTGTGCTTTATTATTGGGTTGAGGTTATTTATTAATAATAAAATGATTCAATTAAAAGAAATAAAAAGATGAGAGGTAGTGGTATGAATTATTCCGTTGTATTAAGTTAATATTAAAACATTTTATTTAATGTATAAGAATAGGAATCAACACCTTAGATAAAACAGATAAATCAGGATAGGAATATACAAATAATAAATTAGAAATTAATAAACAAATAGTGATAAGTGAAAAGAAAAAAAACAGGAGTAAAATTTAAAAAAAAAGAATAAAACTGAAGAAACTATAAAAAAAAAGAGAGAGAGAAAGAAAAACAAATTTGGAATAATGGAAATAAAAACTAAAAAGTCGGGAAAATTAACAAAGAAAAAAACCAAATAATAAGAAAAAATCACTTAAGATATAAAAATATAAGGGAGTAAAAAAGAAAAGACAGAAAAGTTGAGGTGAAGATGTTGTTCATCGAATTAAAAAGAAGAGATATAAACTAAAAATGTTAAAAAGTCTGATTCCATAAAGTCTATTTAAAAACCTATCTTTAAAATATCAAAATTTAATTTCAGATGGAACAACACACTGCAAAACCTCCTCCTACTTCAACTTTTTTTAAACAAACACGAAATTATCAAGTCAGTCAACAGGCAGTTCTTCTTGCGTTAATTAACCGTCACTTTTCATTGTCTCTTTCAGCACCAAAGAAGAAGTCAGTTGTTGCTCAACAGATGATTACTGTTAATTATCTGAAACGTGGAAATGATACTGTTGCTGTTGATGAATTTGTTCATAGGAGGTTAGCTGAAATTCAGCAATATGATATTTCACAAGGAGTTGCACCAAAAACTGCAGCTCGAAGATGTGAAAATAATAGAATTGCCGAAGTCAATCATTTGCTCATTGATATTTTACGAGAATTTGGATATTCTTTCTCAACTAAAGTTACTGATGGAAAGAATGGTACTCTTAAAACTGAATCGGTTTATTCTGTTTTGTATAAAGGAATGACTCTTTTTACTCGTTCAACAATTCAATCATCTGGACTAGCTATTAATAAGTATTTGAACGATCTTCTCTTTGAAACTCAGACTACTTTAGTTTCAAAGAATAATTGTATTCTTCACCATATGCTACCAGAATAGCATATGGCTTTTTTTTAAATTCACTTTTGTTTTTCCACTTCATTTTATTCCATTTTTATTTATTTTTTTTTTTAGAAATCAATTTTTTTTTGTTTTCATTCATCTGTTTCTATTTTTATTTTTTTATTTTCTTCTTTATCTATTAATAGAATTTTGAAAACTTTTAATAAAAATTAAGATGAATTAAAATTTTGATGTTTTAATTTCAACAAACTAAAAAATGAATAATTTAGATCATTAGTTAAATAAGAGAAAAAAAAAAACATACAAATTATTGAATTTCATTTTGAAAGTAATTGAAATGATTGTTGAATAAAAGTGTTCAATCACTGAGAATGAGAAAGATGAGAAACTCCATCAAAGAAAGAATTATGAGAGATAGAACAATACCTTAACTGTTTTGCATAACAAGAATGTTCATATACAAATCGAGTATCATCCATTTTTACATATTCTCCACAACATAATTCTTTATTTCTTTTATAAAAATTTTTAAAACCTCCATCTAATACATAAATCTCTGGAAATAACCAATTAAAACTATTAGATTCCTCCATATGACTCCAGTCTAATTCTCTAATTTTTTTTGCAATAAGTGGTCCTCGTTTTTGAGAAAATTCACAATAAATAATAAGAATAGGTTTAATATTATCATCTAATCCTTCTAATGGATGTAATTGTTGTAAAATATCATTATTATTCCATATATTAATAGAATTAATAATATGACCTGCATTATATTCATATGGATATCTTGAATCAATAGTAATAACTCTTTGTGAATTAGAATTAATTAAATCTTTATATTGTTCAATTGATATTAAACTAATTTGTTTAATTTTTGGGTTTTTTGGATATAATTGTTCACATTCAGCTGCAACCCTGTTTGCAAATTCTAATGAAACACTTGATTTCATTGGTTCAGTACTTCTTCTTTTAAGTTTTCCTGTATGAGAACCAGAACGTCTAATAAAAAATCGTGGTGATTCATGTAATGGACATGAAGTAACAGTAAGTGGTGAATTTGTTATTTCATTTAAATTATTTGGAGAATTTGAACATGAAAAACTGTTTATTGGACTAAGTTCATAGGGACTAGTTAAACCTGGTGTTAGTTGTAGAGTGGTTGATGAAGGTAGACTAATACTGTTCATTGAACTAGTAAGAGAGAACGAAGGAGTTGGATTTAAGCGTGACAGTTTCATAGACCTTCTCATCCAAAAAATAAATTGTAAAATTTGAGATTCCAGAAAATCATAAGCCAACGAAGTAATATTAACAACAAAAATGCTTTGTGATTATGCCATGTTGTTTTATATTTATTTCATCCTAAAAAAAGAATAAAATTTATAGAACTTTATTGCCATGTTTTTGATAAAACCTCTTTCAATTTCTCTTATTTTATTTGTCGATTTTACTGATAATCGTTGTTAAAATAATTTGATTTTTTATTCTTGATTCATTGGTTGAATTTGAATTAGTTATTCGCACCTTCCTTTTATTGGCTGTCGATTATTCTTTTTAAATTCGTTTTAAACTTTTTAATGTTTTGAGTCTTTTTTAGAGTTTTTTTTATGTTGAAAGAAAACACTCAGTTATATGGCTTTATGTTTCTTTAAAAAAATTCCTTTATCTTAGAGAGTTACTATTCTTATAAAATCCTTCTATGAATTTTATTGTTTCCATTTTTTGTGTTTAAAGAAAGAGCTATTTTTCTCCAAATACTTTCATTCAATTTATTAAAAATACATTCTTTTTTTCCTAAAAATAACAAAAAAAATTCATAACTGAACCTCCGATAAATTATCGTTATATATAGCACAAATTGAATATTCAATTAAAAAAAGAAGGAGAAGTTTAATGAAGAAGAAAAGAAAGAGATAAGAAAAAAATAAGATTGATTATTATACCAAAAGAACTATTAAAGAAAAGAAATAGAAACAATGGAGATTGTTCCTTTAAAATGTACTATTTGTCAACAGCCAATACGCCTTCATCAACAATTAATTTATACTCTTCCTTCTTCTATTACGAGTGTTATTGCTTCACCTCCAAAAGACTGTATTACACCACCAAAGAAAAATGATAGATCAATCAGAATTACAACATATTTATCACCACCTTCTAATTATTCATCTTCTTTCTTTAACAATTCTTTGTCACCTACACTTTCACTTCATAAATCTATAAGTTCTCTCCAAACAAGTCCAGCATCTGATCCAAGAAAAACAGACGAACGACCAATATTAACACGATCTACATCATTTCTTCATTCATCATATTGGAAAGAAAAAGAAGTTGATAAACCTATTATTGCTGATATTTCACAAACACCAGATTTTGTTAAATGGCAGGAAACATGGAGACATGTATTAGGAATTAATGTTCCTTGGTGTGTTAATTGTTGGCAACGAATGTATAAAGAAACAAGTGAAGAATTTTATCAAACAGGAGAAGAAATTGTTATTGAACGATTACACTTAAATGAACTTCGAATAGCACAAAATTTAGACAAACAAATTGAACAAGAATTAGAAAGAGTAAATTCTCTTCAACAAGAACTAGAAGAATTAACTCAAGAAAATGAATGTCTTCAAGAAATTACCAATCTAATTGAGAAAGATGAAGAACAATTCACGAAATTACTCAATCAACATTATGAATTAATTAATCAAACAGTATTTACTGGAAGTGCTAGTATTCATCAAATGGAGAAAAAGGTATGGACAGAAGTATCAAAGAAATTAAATAAATTACAATCAAAAACAGTTTGGGATAGTTTATTTAAAGTTGAATGGATGAATGAAGGAGTGTCATTAGAAGGAGTTGATATTATTTTATCAATTAAAACAAAAAACTATATTTCAGTCCAAACTGCATTTGGGACAATAATACATATGATCAAAATTCTTTCACAATATTCAAATATATTCTTACAAAAGACATGTATTGATGGATTTGGATATGGTAAGATGTCTGTGTCCCATAAAGATTTTACCAATGTAAATAGATCAAAATTTAAAAATGGACTTCGCACTATATTAACTGCATTTTATGAAATAACATCTTTTTTAGAAGAGACTACATCATTTGAACTTCCATATAAAATATCAAATTGTGAATTTATACAAAGAATTTCATTTATTGATGTATCTAATCTCTCTAATTGGTCAATAGCATTAAAATATTTTGTTATTGACATTAGTGTTACATCAAATACAATCTTTTCCAAATAGTTTTATCTCTTCTCATTTCTATTTTGTAATAAAAAAAAAACAAATCATATTTAACTTATTTATTTGTTACATTATTATTTATATATTAAAAATAACCTAGTTTGTTTTATTCTTCTTCAATACAATCAAATTTATTGAATACACATTCATCATCTTAATCTTCTGAATGTCCTTCTTCACTCATATCTTCTTGGTCATAATCTTCAAATTTATTTGCATCATAATCATCATCACCTTCATCATCCTCTTCATCAAATACTTCTCCTAAATGTTCTTCAGCAATTAATTTATTTGTTTCTTTCTTATCAATAAGATTAGTTCCATTTGACATTGAAGGTACTTGAATTTGGAATCGTTTTGGTGGGTGGTTGATTGCATCTCCTTGTAATTCACTTGGAAGAAGGTTTTGTGGAATACGGATGAATTGTTTAAATAATTCAGGGTCATGAGGAACATTAGTACCATGTAAAGGTTTATCCTCATCAAGATAAAATGGAAGAGTTTCCCATATTTGGTTTAATTCAATACTGATATTTTGTGCATCTGCAAGTAACTCTTCATCAGTAATAAATAAACGTTCATCCATCTTGTTCATTCTTCGTGTTTTTAATTTATGTCAGATTTTTGAGTTTTTAATTTTATGTTTTTCTTTTTTCAAATAACAAAATAAGTATATAACAAAAATAAATTCATCTAAATTCCTTGAAGTTTATAAAACAACGAAAACTTATTTCGTTATAATAATGAACAATCTACTTGTTGATACGTGACGTCATTGCAGTTGTCTTGAATGAGTTGAATGAGTTTTATATAATTTGTTTTAATGAAACAAGAAGAAGTAGTGGATATTTAAGGAATTTGTTCGCATTACTACTTTATTTCAAAGCAAAGTCATTTTAAAAATAATATTTATTATTATTATATTATAGTTAAAATACAATGAAAGAAAGAAAAATCTGTATTCTTTTGAATGAGTGTTCCATTTTTATTGAAGTCGAACCTTCGAAGTTGAAGAAGGTTACACAGAAAAATACAAAACTTGAAAAAACAAGACTTCCATGAAGAATTAGAATTTTTTGTTATCGTCCCCAAAGGAAATTATCGGGAAAAGATTATGATAGTTCGAAAAACGACCTTCAGTTTGTAAACATTTTGTTTTAAATTAAAAAGAAACAAAGCCAATAAGTCTAAAATAGAAGAAGATTCTCATATTTAAAGGAACTCCATATTAATTATTTCACCTCTTTTTATTATGCAAGTAATCAAACCCATTGCTACAATCAAATGTGATATTTCATTATTAAATTCATCAACAAGTTCAATAAATGAACAAACTCCAATTTCATTAGGAAGTATAAGTCAATGTAATGAATCACCATTTTCACCAAGATTTCCTCAACGTGTATTTTCTCCTCTTCCTAGTGATTCACCTACAATTGATGATGATAACACATTTGATTATGAATTAAATACTTGCATAAAACAAAGTCCTGTATATCAAGATTCATTCTTTGAATTTGAATTCTGAACGCGTTTTGTATCATTTTACATTTACATATCCATTTCATTCATTTTATATTTTTGTTTTGGCTTTGGTTTTGTTTCATATTTTTTAAAGAAAAATGAATATACTTTTTTTACATTTCAAGATAACCATGAATTGTACTTGTCAAGTTAACCAACTCATTACTGACATCAATCACGTTACTGACGCTTCAATAAGAAAAATTCTTTTAGAAATTGTAAGTATTATTAACCAGCTTGTTAATGCTTCAACCAACCAAATAACAAAGCAAGTCAACTCTATCTATGCCAATAATGATGTAGAAAAAGGAATTGCAAAAATGGAAGAATGGAATAATTGTAAAGCAACAATTATTTATGATACTGAGACAAGTCAATGTAATATAAAAGAAGTAATAAGAAAAGAAGAAAACAAATGGGGAATTATCTGTGTTGATGAAAAGAAAAGGATATTTGGATGTTCAAAATATCTATCTAATCAATATTTATGGGTGAATTATTCAATTGGTAGTTATGAACGTTTACAACCAATTAATAATGAAGAATATATGATTTCTATTTGTCATAATGAACAAATGATTTTAAGTATTGGAAATGGGTGTTGTAAATTAGTTATTGGAAAAGAAGGAACAAAAAACAGTTATTCTTACTTTTTGAATTATCTTTTTCCAAATTCATTCTTTACTGATATGCAAAAATTTATTATTAAACGAATTGTGGTTATAAGACTGAATTGAATTATTCATTAATACATGAAATAAAAGATGATAATTACTAATTCAAGGTCAATTATGAAAAACAAAGAATATACACATTGTTATTTAAAAAGACAACAACCCTATTGACTCTAAAACCAAGAATAGAGACTATGTCTTGTTCATTAAATTCAATAAATGATATTCTTTTTTGTTCTTGACAATTATGTATTTCTAAAATATTCCTGAACTTGGAATAAATGACAAATTTCTTCTCATCTATCCAACACATCCGTGCTTCTCTCATTGCTGGAATAGTTTTTACAATAAATCTATTGATAGAGTCAAAAACTAGAATTCTACCATATGAATCAGATAATAAAACATATTTTTCATTAAATGGATTGGCACAAAAATGTTCAATATTTCGTGTGTCTGGAAGGGCTGAAATAAACTCATTTTTATTTAAACTCTCTAATGACCTATAAACAATTGGATAATATTTCCCATAAACTGCAATAACATTATCTCCATAATATGGCTTTCCTAATATTCTACATACTTCCTCTCTTCTAAATGCATTTTTACAATGAATTAATTGAAGTCCAACAATATCATGTTTAAAATCAATTTCGGTATAATCAAAATCTTTGTTATTAATGATACTTTCTTTAATATTAGCTAAGGTTGTTTTAACAAGTATATGTGACTGTGCTTGAATAAAAACATCATTCTTAATAATTGTTATTTCTCCTGTACCATCAATAGAAGGTACTTTGATTCTATATGACATATGTCCATTAATAATAATGATTGTCCCTTGTACAATTGATAGTATATATAATGTGTTATCATACCAACATAACTGATGATTAGTTGATTCACACTCACATCGGATTTTACATATTAAACAACAACTTGCAAACGCTCCAGATTTAATCTCATCAAACCTTCCAGACTCGGGGATTTTTGTTCCTTCTTCTATTCGGTCTTCACAACTGATTTCATATACTTCATGTGGTTGTGCATTGTTTAATATATAAATCCTATTATAATCATCACTGACACAATACGATAAGATTTTTCCTTGTCCATAATTTTCAACTTTTCTTTTGCACACTTCCATTGTCTTTTTAATCAACAAAAATTTACTACAATTATCAGTTCATTTTATTTCCTTCTTTCTTATTTGGTAAAGTTATGTTTAGTTTTAAATATTTCTTATATGCCTTTTCTTCTTATTTAACAATATTAATTTATTCAAACACACCACAAAAAAAACATTGTTTTAAAGTACATTAAACCAGAATTTCCCTTATTGTTGGAATAACACATTTATTTTTGTGTGAATTTATTTCATTAAACAAGGAGATAAAAACATTTATTTATTTTTTTTTTACACAAGACAAATGAATAATTGTCAATTATTTAAATATAAAGTGAATAATACAAAAAGTACTTGATATTGAGAATGGAGTAAATTAGGAAGTTTTATAAGTTTTAATACAAGATAGTGAAATATTATTTAAGATGAAAAGATATACTTTAAAGAGCAATTTTAACAAGAGTGATAAAAGTGGATTTAAACTAGTAATAATAGATTTTTTTGCTTATAATTCTTTAACAAAAAATAATTAATTTGTTTATACTTTTCTTAAATAAAAATAATAAAAAAAAAAGAAACTTAAAAATTCTTTTTAATTTACTTCAACAAATGATTTCACAAAGAAATAGTTCAACTAAAACTGTTTCATCAAATACAAAAAATATTAATTCAGAGTCATTGTTGTGCATCAAAAAAAGTAACCAAAGGTGTTATGATTCAAAAAGATCAGTAAGTAATTCAGAGTCATCTTCTATTGACCCACAAGAATTACAACTAATACAACAACAAACTCAAAAACGATCTTCTACGGCGTCTTCAGTGATTGAAACAACACAAATTAATGAAGAAAAGAAAAAAGTAATTTATATTTTTAAAAAAAGAACATTATCAAATCAATTTGAAGAATCGTTATTATTTGAAATTAGTAAATATTTAAAAACTGAACAAGATTATAAGAATTATTCACAAATTAATAACAGATTCTCTAAAATAATTTCAAAGTATCATTATAATCCAATTAAGTCATTTCTTTTATTTAAAGAAGTAACTACTCAATTGTTATTTACAAAGAAGGATATTAGACTTCCAAAAGCAAATAAATTTGTATGGCTATTTCCTGTTCATATTGGAGAAGCATTAAGATATTCTCCTGAGAGAAATATATTTCGTAATATTAAATTAACTCAAAATTATATTCATTTTCATGGTGACTTAATTCCAGTAGAAACTAATATTATTGGAGATAAAGCTTTTTTTATGAGAAAAGATCTTATTTCTATTACAATTCCAACAAGAGTTCGCTGTTTACAAAGTGCGGTTTTTGAAGGATGTTGTAGTTTAAAAGAAATTAATATACCTTCCTCAGTTACTTCATTAGGAGAGAGATGTTTCAAAGGATGTACTTCATTAACTAGGTGTAAAATGACTGAATCAATAAGAAGTATTGGAAGAGAATGTTTTAATGAATGTTATTCATTAAAAAATGTTGAACTACCTTCTCTTCTTGTTTCAATTAAAGAATATTCATTTCTTAAATGTCCTTTTAATGAAATGATACAAATTCCTCAATTGCTTCAATTATTACCACTGAGTTGTTTTGAATATTCTACACAACTTCGTAATGTTATTTTTCATTCTTCTGTAGAATCATTAGGAGAACATTGTTTTGCACATTGTATAAGATTAGATAGAATTGAATTACCAGTGTCATTAACGTCTCTTGGAGAAGGTTGTTTTTGTTATTGTGAAAATTTAAAAGAAGTTATTATAAATGAACAACTACATGTTTTACCAAAAAATTGTTTTGAAAATTGTGAATCATTAGAATTAGTAGTTAATAGTCAATTTATTCATCAATTAAATGAAAGTGTATTTGAGAATTGTTGTTCATTACAAACAATTTTATTATCACCATATCTTCAAAGACTTCCTCAAAATTGTTTCTTTAATTGTTGTTCATTAAAAGAAATTGATTTACCATTCACATTAACTTCTATTGATTCAAATTGTTTTTATAATTGTAAATGTCTTGAAACTATTGACTTACCTTTACATTTTAAAGAAATTCATTCAAATGCATTTGCTTTTTGTACTTCTTTAGAATATATTTCATTACCACGTTCTATCACTTTATTCGGAAATAATTGTTTTAAACAATGTCTTAAATTAAAACAACGTATTAATGTTCCTGATTATTGTTTCCAACAAATTTCTTTCTTCTAATTTGTATTTTTTTATTTTTTTTTTTTAAACATTTTTATTAATAAAAATAAATTAGAAATTATTTATTTAAATCAAATAATATTTCTCTTTTCTTTTGATAAAGAAATTTTATTTTATGATAGAATCTCTCTTTTTTAAAGACTCTTTGTAATATAATTCATTTTTGTTTATTAGTTTTATTGTATTTCAGTATTTATCCAAGAAAACAAGACAACAGAAAAAAAAGAGTACAATATCACTGTTACTAATGAATTTAGAGTATTTAAGAAAAAGACTCTTTGTGTCAAATCAAAATCTTAAGAGAATTTTAAAATTCCATTCCTTAAAGTACAGTATAACAATTATTATAAAGAAGAAGAAACTGAGTTATTAGTTAAAGAAAATGAATTATTAAAACAAGAAATTTTAATACAACGAATCAAATTAAATACTTACTGAATGAAAATTGATGAATTTGCACTTGAGGTAACTCAACAAAAAAAAGACCAAATAAATAAAATGAATAAAAAAGTTAGAGTATTGTTTGATAAAGATATTCATTCAATTGATAAAAATTAAAGACAATAAAAAAAAATAAAAGAACTAAATATTCAACCAAACTAATTGATTCAATTAGTTATTACCTCAGTTTATTCATTTAGAACATTCAATTTTATAAAACTGAAGGAGAAACTTTTACTAAATTAAAATTATATTCTTATAAAAATGAATTAGAAAAATTATTTAAATAAAATAAAAAATAATAATTAACACTCTAAAAATACGTAGAAATTATGAGTCAATTCAATTTAATAAGTATTTTTACAAAAGAAATAGAAAATCAAAATGTGGTATTATTACCTACATTCCAAATATTTCTTTTATTGACGTTCATGAACCAAAAACTAAATTGAATAACAATTGTCTATTTGTCTCATCAGTATGAAATGAAATTGTATTGTTTAACCACCATAAATTCTTTTATTCTGTTTGTTGATATATTTCATTTCTTCATAGGAAAATGTTGGATATCAACAAATAACTATATTAATAAGTGATACATTAACTCATTATTTTAATTTTCTTTAAACTAACGTTTTTTTTTTTAAAAAAATCCCTTTTCCAAATAAATTCAAAGAAGTAATAATAAAAAGCTAACTTTGTTTGAGAAGAAAAAGAAGAATATACTATAAATATATATAAAAAAAAGGTAAGATTCTTTTATATTACAAACACAATATTTTTAGAACCAGAAAAATACCAAAATGTATTTGTTAAAAGAGATAAAAAAAAAAAGAAAAAAGAAAAAATACTAACTAAAAAATAAATTAGAAAAAAACATGTCTATTCCAATTAAAAAAAAGAATCGTAGTGATGCGACACCACAACTTAGTACACCACAATCTGGGTTAGGATATTGTGTCGATTTTGATAATATTTCTACACAGTCTGGAGAAGATGTTCAAGTTGAATTTCAAGATGCAGCTACGGTTGTTATTACTGAAACAGTAAATGAAAAAACAGAAAAGTTTAAAAGAACATCCATTCCAAGAACATCATTCAGTTCTCGTGGAAGTGTTGATGATTTTCAAACAAAATTTTATGGAGAATGTCCATTCTTTCCAATACCAATTCCAGAAAGAATACAACAAGTTGTTATAACTTCAGGAAATATTTTTATGATTGGAGAAGATGGAGTATATGCTACAGGTCTTATTAATTACAAAGAAAAAAAAGTAACTGAAACACCAATTGTTATTAAAGGAATTCCAGCAGGAATTAAACAAATTACTGGAAATCATAAAAAAATGATAATTTTAATTGATGGAAAAGTTTATACATCATCTAATTTAGAAGATGTTGTAATGCTTAAAAGAGTTGGAGAATTACAAGGTGTTAGTCAAATTGCATGTTCTGAAGAACATTATGCAGCATTAACAACTTTAGGAGATGTATATCTTTGGGGAACAAATACATATGGAGAAATTGGAAAGAATAGAGTTGTTTCAATGAATAGACCAGCACGGGTTGTTGAATTAGGAAGAAAAAAAATTATTAAAGTAGTTTGTAGAGAAGGATATACTGCATGTTTAACAGAAGAAGGAGATGTTATTACATTAGGAGAAATGATATGGCAAAATATGGATAAAGTTGTTGATATTATTGGATTAAGAGAAAATTTATGGGGATTAAAAATTGATGGAAGTGTTATTAGTAATGATGGAAGAATTATTATTGGGAATAATAGAATTGATAGAATTACTGAAGGACTTGGATCAATTGTTGGAGAATCAAATGGAAAATTATATGTTTTAAAAAATAATGAATGGGAATTAGTTGATAATATTGGAGCAAGAGATTGGAGTGGATATTCTACATCATTATGTGTTCTTGAAACAGGAAAAAAGATGGGATTTACAGATATTTTTAATGAATTTAAAAAATATATTAAACAAATGACAGTAATAAAAAGAAGTTATGTTGATATTTTATTACCAAAAATTAGAGATATTAAAATGCAAAATTCAACAAAAGATGATAAAAAAGATAAAAAAAGATTAAAAAAACAAATGAGAACAATGTCAGTAGAACAAATTCAATCAAGTGAAAGTACAACTCATTTAGTTAAATTAGAAGAACCATTAGAATATTTATATTTATTATATAATAAATCAATAGGAGTATTTTCATTTTTAATGAAATTATATTGTAATAATATTTCATTTAAAATTTCAGATTTATATCAAAAATTTTTTGAAGATTTAGAAATTCTTTTTATTGATTATTCAGAAGCATTTCCTAAATATGTAGAAGTTCTTAATATTAGTAAAATGTTATGTCAATCATTTTTAACAGAAATTGAACAAATTGAAAAAAATAATTTTACAGAAGATGAAAGTTGTTTATTATTTAATAAACATTGTGATTTATTAAGTATTGCAATTATTCCATTTAAATTTCTTTCAAAATTTTATGAATTATCATTACAATATCGTAAAATTAATAAAGAATTTTCACGTTCATATTTTGAAAAATTTGAAACATTATTATTTAGATGTAATGAAATTTTAAAATTTGAAGATATTCATTCAATTGAATATGTTTATTCTAATTCACAACAAGAATTTGTAGTTTATCTTTCTACAATGAAAGATTTAGTACTTCAATTAACTAGACCTAATATAAGAGAACCAAAATATAGAGAAATCTTTTTATTAATGTATAGATTATATACATCTCCTGAATGTGTTATAAATTATTTAATTCCTCATATTAGTATAGATGAAACTGGTGATAGAAAAACACAAATTTTAATTGTTTTAAAACAATGGATGCAAAGTTATCCAAATGATTTTAGTTTATTAGGTAAATCAGAAAAAAGATTAATAAATTATTTATCTACTTCTAAAGAACCATTTAATAAAATTCGTAAAGAAAAATTAATTGTATTAGAATTATTTAATCAAATTAAAGGAAATTCAAATATTACTATTTATCCTCCTCTTATTTTTGATACTTCAGAATTAGATCCTTCTGATTTTATGGGAGATCCTTATAAAATAACAAATTCAATGACATATGTTTATAAAAAATTATTTATTAGAATTAAACCAGTAGAATTATTATATTATTTAGATAAAACAAAAAAAGATCAAACATATAATATTAAAAATATGATTGATAGTTTTAATGGTCTTTCTAAAATGTATGCTTCTATGTTTAATAAAATATCTAAAGATCAAAAATTATCTTTACTTCAACAAACTATAAAAATACTTGATATTTTCCTTAATCGTGATAGAAATTATCATGCAATTTGTGGTATTGTTTTTGCTTTTGTTCGTATTCCTGAAATTGAACAATTAAAATTACAATTAAAATCAGAGGAAAGAAAACGATATGATT